TCCTTACATTTTTATAATCAAAATGCACACCAAGAATTTTAATAGAAGTTTTAAATTCATGAGGGAACGTCTCAAACTCTGGATTCCTTGTGCCTATACTAAAAAATTCAGTCTTCTCCTCATTTACTTTGACACCAGAACATTCCGAGAGTTTACTAAGGCACTCTCGTAAACAATCACACGAGGATCTGTTACAGAGAAAACGGGTCAAATCATCTGCAAAAAGTGTCACTTTAATCTCGGAATTGCCAATCTGAATACCCTGAATCTTGTCATGTTTTTGAATACTGCATGCCAGAATTTCTAATCCTAATATGAAAAGAAGAGGTGAGAGTGGGTCTCCTTGCCGCACACCTCGACCAACTGTAAAATAATCTGATGTAAAACCATTGGTAATAATACAACTTGATATATTTGAATACAAAGTACGGATCCATTGAATAAAAGATGACCCAAAAGTTGAATGCATTGAGAACTTTTAAAAGATAAGTATGACCCAAAGAGTCAAACGCTTTTTCAAAGTCAATAGCAAAAAGAATGCCTGATTTTTTCGTATGTTTGGTGTATTCCAAAATATCGTCAATAGCGTCGAAAATTGACCTGCCCTTTACGTACGCATTTTGACTGCATTGAATTAGGTCAATGCAGTCCCCCAGGTTATTGGGTTATTAGGGTATCAGGGTATTAGGGTATAAGAGTATAGGGTATTAGGGTTTTAGGCTCTCCTTGACCCTAATATTTCGTAAAGAGAACGTTAGAACGTCTGTTGAATAGGGACAATATAAGGACTAGTGAACAGTGGGAAAGATTTAATGTGTAACTGAATTAACGTGATTAAAGCGGTGTAGCATGAAAAGTAAATCTTCAGGGGTTTATATGAGAGTTCGTATGTTGCTCACATGTAAAACCTGTTATTTTTGAGAACCTGTTTACTCTCATAATGGCAAATATTTGGGAAATTCGTGGAGCTCTGTACGCCGCACAGTGAAGAATACCCACAGATTTTATTTACATTGATGGTAGGACTTTTGAGTTGCCATAGACTCGATCCTAGATCAGGTCCTACATTTGAGAAAATAGCATTTAACTATAGGAATGTCCAGCTGCGCACATTGCGGGGTTTGGCTGAAGGTATTTTAAAAAATTCACGACTTTGTCAAAGTTGGACAGAATATAACTGCTAAGCCTTTAAAATATCGAAGAAAGTTGAATCTATTGCGCGTAAAACATTCAGCTTCTTGGAATAAAACAATGT